ATTGGGCTGTGTTATAGGTATTATAAATTTATAACATCCTTCTCTCTCTCAATTGTATTTATACCAAAAACATAGTTTTTATATGTATACTATTCATGAACTACGGTTCAAATTTCCATAAAGCATTTTGCCATATGCTTTAAAATATAAATATCTTAGCAAAAATCCAGTTTTTATCCAGTTATAACTCATCCCCCATACTTTTGACGCCATTTAATTTGATGCCCAAAGTTCTCCACATTGCATTGGTTGCCATCAACGTTAATTGGAAATGGAGAACTAAAGGAGAACTACGCATCTGATATACGTATTATCTCTTTACTATTTAGTCATAGTTATGATGTACCGCAATCATCTTGGATGGTGACCTGACGTTTCCCATAAGAAACATATAATTTTTTGCACAGATTTATTTACCGTATTACTGACTATTTTTGTCATGTGTAGAGGTATATTTTAGRTCATATCAGTACATAAAATAACAATAATAATAACCAATAATACCTGTCCTACCTACCTGTGAACCGTGGCGATAAGATACGCGTGTAAATACCTAACCTTTTATTAATAGTTATTTCAAACGAGAATATTGACTTTAAAATTTTGTACACAAAACATGATGATAAAATATTATTATACAATTTTATTGTACAAATAATACGGAATATATTATTGTAGTCGAGCTGCTTAGCGCAGCAAGTGTATAATATAACAGCAACGTAATTGGTACAACATACCTTTGGACGTATTCATTTAATATAATAAAACGGTATTTGAAAATTTTGTTACGCGACCCATGAGGTTATTATGTATGGATAGGCAYAGGAGTTATTATTTGGCTCGATTTTGGTTACGTTTARGTGTGCTGGTTTGTCGTAATTTACCTGCGCTTTTCGGATTATATACKATTTACTGTAGTTTCACGGATTATTATTATTATAGGTATTTTTATACTACCTTTATGAAGTACAAAATGAAAAGACACATGATGGCGAGAAGGTCATTCGACCGGGGCATCATACTCGTAATATTATATTATATTAAATAGTAGCATCGTGTCATCGTGCAGCAGTCAATGCTTTCGAATTGACATCAATGGCCGTTTTTTTTTTTCAATATAGATTCTCTTCGACGATCGGATGTCGGTACGGTTTGTAAAATGTGCAGTATAATATTAAACAGAGAATCAAAATCTGGCTATTTTGAAACGCAAGTATAGTTTCTACAGCGAATTTTATTTCTGGGAAATCTGTTCAAATATACATAGGTCCCATTGATAATTTATTAAATATATTATACCTATATTATACTCTATGTGTGTATACACAGCACATAATATTATTATTACCACATACCATATTATTAAGTATACATTATTTCGATTCTTCAAGACCTTTTTATAAATAATAATATATATTATAATAAGGTAATAAGACCTTATAATCAATTATTTGCACACACATGCGCGCAATGCAAACGTAAATTAAACATTTAATACATGGTAAATACATTCTTGACGTTTGAATACACACTACACAAGACRTGTATATTACATGGATACCTACTAGCGGCGATCAAACGTTGTGACGAGCGGGTTAAATCACATAATATGCCCTTTTTTGATTTTTTCAATGAATTCATGTCCTCCATCCCGCATGATAAAATTATTTGACCATCACTGCTGTAAACCTACTTAATAATAAAAAAAAACTTTACATATGGTATATATATATATGTGTATTTCAGTACAAAATCTTTTATTTTTTTAAAAGCCGTAAAAAAGATAATATTGTAACAACTGTTTTATTGTCCGATACACTTTCTAAAGGTACCTATATACATAATATGTTCTTATAAGAATCACTAGACGATTACAATGACATATATTTTGTGTGCGTATTGTGTAAATGCTATACGGTACCAAGTACCTGCTCGTGTAATATTTTTTAACAATAAATCTTGTTCGTGAAAATACTGACCTAACTGTACTTTTCTATCTGAATATGATCTATAGGCTATTAGCTATTATTATATTATAATGGACGCCGGCGACGGGATATACTTATTTGAAATTGTGATATTACATTATATGTACCTAAACTCTGGTTCTTATTTTATGTTGGCTGTTATATAATCTBATAGTTAATGTAATAGCGAAACGTTTCAAATGGCGATTTTTTTTTTTAAAGAGTTACATTATTATTTACTATTTAGTATTTAAGATATAAGTACCAAAAATATCATTAATTATTTCAATGTCTCATTTTAAGCATACTCCTCGTCATCCACTTGATAAACCTGACTAAAATAGTACCTAAAATATCATAACTYATAACTTATTTTGAATAATTTAATTTGGCATAATACATTTAACGAATATTTTAATATCTGGAATTAATTTTTATTAAACTAATTGTTATTTGCAAACAAACATATCATTTAATATTTTATAGTAAATAGGAACATACAGTTCTTATTGCAGCATGTAATTATTATACGTTTTTGAAACCACCTTGACTTGGAGTGAGTATAATACAATTATTTTGGTTGATAACTAGCGGTTAAAGGCATTTCAATGTTTACATTTTAACATTAATACTTTAATAGAAAACCTCAAATGTTAATTTAGACATTATTTGTGTATGCTATTAAATATAATCAAAGGGTTAAAAAAACATTTTAAAATACTATTTAGGCTTTTAATATATATTATTTAATGTAATATGATTTTAAAACACATGATAAAACATTCCAAAATAGATAACTGATACTTAAGTTATAGTAAGTAAATCATTTAAACAGCCATAATTATTATTATAGGAAGTTTAAATAATATATAAGTTATAGTTTAAAACTCTGCTGATAAAGAAGTATATACTTACAACAATTCACCTAGAAAAATAAGACTACCTAGGTATGCCTATTTATAGGTTATAATCTATGTGATGTATAGATATAATATAATATTGTATTTTATATAATAGTTATATGTCTCTACATTTTTTATAAATAGCTATTTATTTTGCAGGTACGTGTTACTTATACTTAATAAAGTATGTATAGGACATAGGTATAGGCATTTAATAATATATATTATATCTACAGGTGTAATGTGAAAATAGATTTATATCAGAAAGTTTTTGTTTGTTCAGATTTTTATAATGTGTAGTATGTATCATGTTATATTATGATTATATTGCATGTACCTATAATAGACGTCAGTATTTTTATTTTACGAAGGAGTTATTATWATAGATAGCAGTTACAGCTTTTTAACCTGTAGTAGTGTATAGTMCCTATATAGCTAAGTACTAACCAACATTAATATGTAATCATTTTTTAATAAAATATTTTATAATATTTAGTTTGATGAACAGATTTGATGATTTGTGGAAAATTATTTGTCGAACACTTAGGTATTAGGTATATGTAGTAATATAACCTTTACATTTTCGTTAAAATACATTTATACCGTTTTGATAATAAAATTACACACCCTGCAAGACAAGTCGCATAAAAATAATATCTTTGGCGTATATTTCTTTAACGATGAGGATATTTGCGATTACAATCGATTTAAAAACAGATTTTTTTTTATCGACATACATTTTTGAAGTTGTTTTGTCAACGTTTGCAATATATTTATTTCAATTGGCTCCCAAACAATGTCGTTCGTGTTTATACGCAAACACATACACACAAACACATTATATACACTGCTGCAGCAGCAGTCCGCGCTCGCGTTATTCTATTTATTGCCGTCGATGGGTGCGCGCGCGCGCGCGCGATATAGAGAAAGAAACGGACAAAATTTACGAGTTAGAGATGTTCTCGGAGCTCTTTAATTCACACACACTCACACGCATGTCGCACGGTGCGAGCTATAAATTGTTCTGGCGCATTTCTGTGTGTGTATAGGTATATATATTTATATATATTTTATAAGTAAATGGATTGATATATACTTCTGCTGCTGTGGCATGGATGAAGCAATGTGCGAAGCCATCAGCGCGTTTTTGTTTGTTCACGAGTCTAGCAGATATAGTATAGGTACATATAATATATTATATTATTAAATATATATAGAGTGTTATATGGTTTATACCTATCTATAAATATATATAGACACCAATTCGCAGTATGTGATGTGCAAGGCAGCGCTGTTTACTACATACAGTAGTTGCAACTACGTTCTCTGTCGTGTCATGTCCGCAAAAGTTGCGTACTTTGCCCAACTCTTGGAAATATCCGATATAGATAATGTGGTTATAGTACAAATGAATGATATCATGTCTACGAATAACATATAGTAACCAAACCAAATGACAGATGACGTATTATAATTATTATATAGCTGTGAACTCGATGCGTTTTAAAGAAAACTTAATTATTTACAAATCAGTGCATACCTAGTAAAAATAATAACGTGGTCGATGGTCGTGAAACCATACGGTTTTACAGGGTTAAATAACAGAAAGTTAAAAACAATAATATGTAATATAATAATTGTATGAATTAATATAGGATACAGCATACAGGTATTTAATATTATAGCATAAATACCTATGAGTGSTGATTATCCTAATTTTTATAATATAGACACGAAACCGGTAAAAAAAATCAAGCTAGTTAATTGAATTATATTAATAATTATTATTAATTATGATATCAACAATCATTTTATTATTATTTTGTTTGTTTAGCGTGCGGCAACGACGTGCACCCAAAAGATTTCCGCTCGGTATAACGCAGCGTCGTTTACCGCCGTCGTGGAGGAAAATCGGCAGCCGCCGGTCGAAAAAGTGATCCGGAGTGGTACTGGCTCCGGTCGGTGGCGGGCGGGGATGAATTATGTGCCCGTACCCTAGAGTGGGCGTCACGTATGCCGCCCAGACCACGCCCGGGCCGCCCGTGACGTCAGGGTCGGGCATGTTCGGCCACCGTCGGACCGCGCTCTCCGATCGGCGTTACTGCCGCCGTCGTCGGTCCGCGTTGTTGACACCCGTCAGTCAGTGATGGCCGTGTCCGCGTCCGTGGTCTTTGTGCTTTTAGAGGGTTCCKTCGTCACTAACGCCGCCGCAGCTACCGCCGCCGCCGACACCACCTCCGACACACACTGCACCGCTGTTGTTGTTGGTTGACGATTTTTAAATTGTTTCGCCAGTCGTCCATATAATATTACACACGTCTCACGAACGCGATCGCTAATTGTATAATATCGTACTCGTAGTCTACACTGTTTATTGTTGTAATTTTTTTTTTAAATCATTATTCGCATTTGTAAGTCGATCGTTTCGTATGATAATAATATAGTGTTTGTTTTTCGAGACTGTTTACGCGCGAGTCTTTATTAAAAATATTGTTACGTCTACGAATTTTTTAATTTGTTTTAAGATTTTGATTCTCGCGAGACGAGTCATGTCTGACGATTATCAGTGCTGTTCGTGATTATTAGACGCGAATTTCCGTCTTCCGCGCKCTTTCGGAAGTTGCGTATCCCACGCTTCATCGTGTCTTACCTGGAGGAAGTATCCCACACGTCGCAAAAGCCACCAGACTTAAGTAACACCATCAAGATCATGACCAGAAGGAAGCAACACTGCCCCAAAAGGATGAAATGTGAGTAAAAAAATCACCATTTTTTTTTACTTTGGTAATATACAATTATCATTTTTCGTTACCTCCTTATGTTTTTACTTAAMAGATCGAAAATTACTTGTCTAAAGAAAAAATAGGAAGATTGCATAGGTTCCTAAAATTAACGGGATGCACCATACCAATTTTTTTAAAAATTTTTTTGCAAACTGTTCGCAGAATCTGTGGCYATTGCATATAACACTTCAAATCGTATTTATAAATTAGATAAATACTTAATTAATGATAATAACAAAATTATTTGGTTAAAATAAATAATCAATTTACCGAAAATTTACCGTGGGGTAGATTTTTTACTCTTCTCCAGATAAACCTTAAGGTCATATTACGAGCGTTATCGTAAAATATAGGTGACTTTTATAGGTCCTTACAAGCTGCAGGTATTGTTTGCATACGGTATAAGCAGTAAATATAYTGTACCTATATATAATTTATGATTATGATATGAGAGATTATTCCTCAAAGGTCGCCGCTATAATAATATAAGGACACCCAATGTTCGTCTAAATGTAGGTGCGTATCTTCAAATATATATAGACGCGATTTTTTTTTTCGTGCGATCCATGGTGGTTGAATATTATGCAGTTGTTCGTCGTTGTATATATAATGACGTTTCGACCTCTGRACGCTATATTATATCTAAGTACATTATTCTTCGTGGACGATGACGAGAGATCGGTTCCTATTGCAATTCCACCTGGTGCACTATCTATATAGGACGTACCCTCTCGGTGTTATTCGGGTTTATGTTGGTGTACTATATATTATATAATATGGGTATATATTTTAARGAAACCATATAATAGTTTAAGAAGGCGTCGTAAATTTTGGGCACAGGTTGTTGTACACATCACACACACATAAATATTATATATATTTATATCGATACGCGCAATGACTTGCAGGGACCGTGGTGGCGGCGGCGTCGCGTTATTAATGATGACCGCGACCATGTTTAACACTTTTTCCCCGTAAACACGCACGTTTTTCGGCGCCTCCTTTTGATCTCTCATTTTCGTCCCCTCCTTCAGGTGAGAAATACAAAACGCATTCTTCTTAGGACTACTTATATAATAGTCGTTATACAACAACACACGTTCGCCGATATTACTATACGCGATAATACGTCCACGACTTATTATTATAATATTTTATTATAAATATTCGGGTGTTCGTATAGTGTATATAGTATTGGTAGGTAGGTGCCTATATTAAAGTGTATTATAGTATGCATTATATAGTATATTTTCATGTATGAGATTTTGTGGTGGGACCTGTTGATGGGTGAGCCGGTGTTTTGCAGCCGGCAGCGTGTTTCGGCGGGTCCGCCGCCAGCTATACCGCTGGGGAAGACTGCCGTGCAGGCGGCAGCAACAGACCGGCGTCGCGGGCAGAGCAGGGCGCGCGCGAGGGGCGAAACGCCACCACCGCTTTCGACGCCGCGTGTGCGGCTAGCCGGGGGTAAAGCGCATCTCTCTCCTTGTCACTGATAAATGAAAGAGCACGCCACAATATATTTATATATACGTATACACCACTCTCGTACACGTATATTATATATATATATATACATTATATATAATGCGCGTATATAAACACGATGAAGCTTGATTATTGCTCCTTTCCGGGTGCCTAAATCAACAAGTGTGCGCGTAACTTGTATATAATAATATACGAGTATCATTTTTTTTTTGGTTTGATTTATACGCGTGCGAGTAGTTCGTTTTACTGGTTTGTTTTTTAAAAATTTTTTGACACTGGAGGATGAGATTGGTTGCGTCGAGAATGTGACACGAAATTCAATCGTGGGCTAAAGGTTGAAAAAAGAGAAATAAACAGTATAGGTAGTAGTAGCACGTCCAAAAGTGTGTGTGAAAAGTGTTTAGAGCGGCGAATTGAACGTGAAGCACGTGTGCCATTTATCAGCCATTTGACGTTGTCGTCGTCGCCAATGTCACCCTTTTCTTAGCTATATCTGCATCTACCTATAGAATTGGTATACGTTTTTTAATGCCGAAAAACTGCGCGCCTAACATTGACTCTGCGAAGATTTATGGAACTATGAAAGTTTATTTGAATGCCGTCGCACTCACTCACGTTCAGGCGTGACGATCGCGTACGAAATTCGTAAGTACTGCGGAAGCGCACTCTGCGACCCCCTCCCACTGCATTACATGATATTTAAGTACATACTTGTGATATTAGGTGTGTCTGTGCGTGCAAATAAAATATTATATTGCAATATTTATTACTTGTGATGTATACTTCGCGCACGTATATCTGAATAATACCTATTGGTTTTTCAATAAATAATTAATCACTTGTGTGTATAAAATTAGAAAATCCGTTATGAAAGTCAATTATACTTATTATACTTAATACCTATTAATATCTGCTCATTTTTAATTTTTGACTTTTGAATCTAGTGCGTTTCGTTGTTTTTTGTTTTATGATACGTCCTAATAAAATATTAGTGTGCCGTTGTGACGACTTGCCACGGAAATTACATCATTTCACGTTACATTTAAATTTAATCTCGAAGTGTGTAGATAGGTTATTGGACTTATTCCAAAATTGTTTTTATTTTTTAGAAATAAAGTAAATGTTACTGTACAGAAATGCATAAAAAATGTATGGTCTGCACACAGACAAAAATTGTAGTTACTCTAATTTAGAACAATTTTAAATTTTAAATGTTATATTGTGTACAATATTTTGGGGCCAAGGAATTTTCTCATAAATTGTAAATGTCGAATTTCAATCATATAGTATATAATATTTGTGTAGACTTAASTACAATGTACAAACCACGTCAGTTTAAAAATGCCGTTGTTGTAAGAAAAATAGTAATTATATAGTAGCTATTGTAAAATGGTGATTATATCTTTAAATTTYATTTCATGAATAATTAATTTCTAATTTAAACCTATAAGTATTAAGTACAATTTGATGTTCTAATAGTCTAGTCGYAAATGTTGTATAGGACTCATATTTAAGTAAATTTCGTATACAAACGTTAATAATTGTTGTTCAGCGGTAATTGAAATTGTGTATAGTAGGCCACATGGGTGTAGATGGCGCATTTGTTTATTTAAATTGTTTTTAGCCCACAGTTTGTCTTTTATTATTACCTGCACTCTTGGTTTGGTTTGCTGCACCTTTCTGTCGCTTATTATCAGTTCTATAATGTTTATAGTCTATACCTTAGTCCTTGTATAGTTATACTTAATACTTATATTATAAACCAATGCGACTTGATAATCCGTTATATTGGTAATTTAATTTAATTTCGTTTTATTATTATATCGATATTTGACATTTAATACATATTATAAATTATTTAATTAAACCTTCATATTAAACTGAAATTATTTTATATATACATCAATTATTAATGATAAGTTATTCCGTCCACAATATGAAATATCTTGATAAGATAAACCTTGCTCACACATATGTATAGATTTTCTATTTTAATTCTCTCAATCCCCGTATTACGTCCAATTATAATAATAATATTTCCAGTGAAAATAATTTAATAAAATTTAATCTAATATTTAAATTATCTTTATGGTTGAATTTGTTCATTCATAGTAAAAGATTAATGATACTTGAATTTTTTTTTCTATATATAAAGCAACTCAATGATATTGGTATTTGATATTAAAAAAATTTATTAAAATTTTTTAAAATTAATTTCAACCGATAACAATTTTTTGTTATGTGTGATAATAAGGTGGACAGAACACAGGTATTCGTTAAACGCGTTAATCATTGCACAACATTTTCCGATCAGTTGAATATCTTTAAAAGATGTTAGTGAATATGTCTTTTATTAACATGAATAATAACAATTTCTAATTAAATGTGATTTATTTAATAATCACGTCATTTGTATAATATATAGAGCGACGTGTATATTTTAATGACATCGGATATACGACACGATTAATAACAATATTATTATACACACATATTATGTAATATAATATATTAGGTACAAAAATCGGCAAATGATGTAGTTTGGTTATCAAATATTTATTCATATCGCCGTGATACAATATGTCCGTTGATGATGCATTTCAAAAATATAATATTTAACGTTATGGAAAAAACACTAGAAATATCTAAGAAAACGGTGGTTTAAATTAACGGACGATTTGACACATATACTTAATATATATATATATATATAATATACATCGTATGTACTGTGTATTTTATGTTAACGACTATACCTATTACTATGCAATGACGGTGACAGGGTGAGAGGACGCGCTTACTTGTGTATTAATATACATAATAAAATGGGTATAGATTAAGCGGTATAATAAAATAATAGACCTCGGTGCAGGTATTTATAGCGGGAACTCGATGATAACGATAAGTACACATGTGTATATAGGTACTACATATTATATTGTTTTGTTGTCTGCAGTGCAGTGTTCGCTGCTGTCGCGACCAAGGGTTGTAACTGGGCGAGTAAATACTATATATATATAATTTGTGTGCCATGCCTGGAGACGATGTTTTCCCATATGACAGTTTAGACTAAAAAGGAACGCGACATTGATTGACAGCGATTTATATATAATACGAAAGCGCCGTCAGTGACACACGTACCTACATATTATGTTCGTCTCACTCCAACACGCCAACCCTGGTATCGTTTTGTCTCTCACCTTTTGTGCGTGCGAGTGCGCGTGCTCCGGTCTCACTGCGTATGATTGATGCGTTACCTTACCTTGTACGCACACAGATTAGATAGGAGAGACCGCCGCCGAGCATTATTACTATTATTATTATTATTATTATATTATTATTATTGTGTGTCACACGAACGTCTCTTTTAGACGTAATGATTTTGACATGTCTACCAACGACAGAGGGGACACGTTAACTGCACACATATAATATGTCTGCCTACCTATCTACTTCATATTGTACGGGAAGAGAGAGYGGGC